CTCTCTCTCTCTCCCTCTCTCTCTCTCCCTCTCTCTCTCCCTCCCTCCCCTCTCTCCTCCCTCTCCCTCTCTCTCTCTCTCTCTCTCTCTCCCAGCTCTGCTGTACAGGGAGTGCTAGAGGCTGACACCAGGTCAAACTTGGGCTGCTTTTAATAAAACAAATGCATTTCATGATTTGATGAGTACAGAGCAGGTCTCCAATGTATTAGATTGGGCAGGGCACGGCATTCTGGGAGGAGCATGCTGGGGCTTGTAGTTCTCTTGGTTTGGGGTCTCAGGCTGGCTGTGTGTGATAGAATGTGTGCGAGGAGTTTCTATCGCTGGTTACAATGTATCAATCGATGGATCTGTCCTTCTTCTCTTGCAGACAACGATGGGAGATGTGAAACTTATATCGAGTCTCTGTAAATCTTCCATGACGATGGACCATCCTCACCCCAAATCTTCACTGCCGTGCGCCGCGCCCGCTTTTTCCCTGCCGCCCAGGAACACCCGGGTCAAGGTGGGCGGCACGGCCAGGATCGATGGCAAGGTACGGCAGATGTTGTCCTCTTGTATGTCACTAAATGTATAGAATATTCTAACCGCAACCCCGAGCTGGAGGCACGCCACATATCACCGCGTATAGAAGAGAAGAATGGCCACAGCAATGAAAGGTGATCCCTGATTGGTGGATGGGAGGGACCTGACTTTCCACATTGCCTTTGACTAACGTAGATATAAACCTCTAATTGAAGGACATTTAGATTGCCCCGTGCATCAGTAATAAGAAAAAGGTAATTTTTTTAACATAAATTCCGTGCGTTCACATTTTTTCATTGTTTGTTCCACCTCAGCGCTGCCGATCTCCTGAAACCTCTTTGCAGCCACTTCCTGTCTACAGTCACTCCAGCAAAGGTTGTATGGTCTTTCCCTGATGGTGACAACAGTGGACCATGTCTGTGTAAATGGCCACTTGTAGTCTCCATTGGAAGAACATGTGACAGGGTGACAACGCAGGAACACAATTGGAAGACGGGATAGATCAGGGGTAGCCAAACTGCGGCCCTCCAGCTGTGGTGGAACTACGAATCCCATGAGGCATTGCAAGATTCTCACAGACATGACTCCCGGAGAGAGATGCATCATGGGATTTGTTTGTTTCACCACAGCTGGAGGGCCGGAGTTTGGCCATCCTTGGTGTAATGTGTACTGAAACGGCCACTTGTAGTCTCCATCGTAAGCCCATGTGACAGGGTGACAATGCAGGAGCACCATTGGAAGACAGGATAGAGTGTTGTCACCCTATAACGGGAAGTGCCTGAACATGGCAGGATCACCAGGGATTACGTTGATGAAATTAGCAGATTAAAAAATTATTTTTAAAGTGACATTGACATGTTAAAGTTTTTTGGGAGATTTTAGGCACTGTTCACACTTGTGCATTGTGGCAATGCATCTGCTCTGTGTGCAGTACGTTGTGGTCAGTGGCGTAACAATCACCATAGCGACCCAGGCGGCCGCTATGGGCACGGGGGCCCGGCCAGGACATCCCCCTGATGCCCTGCGGGCCGCCATGGTCGCTATGGCGTCTCACGCTGCTGG